GCACAAACGTACTTTTTAATGAGCCATAGTTGCTTCGGAACTGACGGTTACCCCAGAGGTAAAGGAGTAGTACTTTTTCCTTTATGAACGCTTCAATGGTACTTCAGAACTGCAATGGCTAAGATACAAACACACAGTCCTAACCCCCCCAAAACATCAAACTCATTGCCCAGAATGGATTCTGACACTATCTACCCTTTAAAACAGTTGAACCGCTCCTCAGGGTTTCCGGAACTTCAATCTTTAGGGCAGCTTACAGCCTCATCTTTTTGCCGTAGCATGTGGTTGGTGAATTTGAACTCCCACCCTCACAGTTAGTAACCCACTGCTTAATCTGCTACACCACCAAGGTCCCTTCTAGCTGGCTCAATACATTGCAAAATACAACCCAGTGGATAATTTTGCTATAAACTACTTTGAAAACAATCACTGATGAACATTTAATCACCACCCCATCTACTTCTAAAAAACTTTTGTAGTCCTCCTTTACTTTTAGAAAGGAAAAAAAATATGCTACATTCTTCCATCAGTGCATCTAAACTATTTTAATTGGCCAACAATTTATAAGCACAGATAAGAACATATAAAAGTTTCATGCAATTTACAAGTTTAATTCTGAAAACTATAGATTATAAATTATGTAGTATAAAGAGGCCAAAAAATGAACAAACAAAAACTCAGCAGGTTATAAGGACAATAAATGGAAGGAAAAAGGAAACTTTCGATTAAAATGTGACCACAGAAGACACCACCTATTTTGTTGTACTACTGGTATCAAGTATACCAACATGACTGGATCTTTTTGAGGTTATTTTTTTGTTGTTGGGAAGGGGAGATGAAGAAAGAAAATCTTTAGAAAAGTCTCATAGTCCTGCCTAATTTGGAAATGGATTATTAAAATGGGCTTGATAAATAGATGCAAACTGTCACAGTAAAGCATGCCTTGCTAAGAGATTATAAAACTTGAAATTACATCACTATACTAACTAAAAGCATCCAGAACACTGGCATTAAAGAAATTTCACATTCCTTATGTGTAGTAGCAAGAAGCCCTGATGGCACTGAGGGTTAAGCATTGGGCTGGCTAATCAGAAAGTCAACAGTTCAAACCTACCATCCATTCCAAAGGAGAACACCGGATCTCTGTCCCTTAAAGGTTTACAGTCTAGAACCAAGGTTCCCTCCCGTGTGTAATGACCAGTGTTAAGAAATAGAAACTAAAGAAAACTGCAATGCCTTGTCAAAGGCTAAACTAACCAACCTCCTGTCTATATTGCTCATTTCAAAGTCAATCATTTTATAAAATAGCTCATTAAAAATCTTAAAATTATTTCTTTAAACTAAAAGTTAAAAAAAATCATACACCCAATTAAAAAATGGGCATAAGAATAGATAATTCACTAAATGACTTGCAAGCAGCCAATAATCATATGAAGAAATGCTTGTGATCACTAACTATATGAGAAACACAAATTAAGAGGTGATACCACCGCACACTGGTTGGTACTTATGGCAAAACTTTTAAAGAACCACGACAGAAAACTTATGTCTGAGAGGATGTGGAGACTGGATTGCAGAATTGTATGGTGCTTTTTAACAAATGTGAATAAAAATACTTGTATGACCTTGTAACCTCTATACCCTAAAGCAAAGGTTCTCAACCCCCGTACCCCTTTGGAGGCCGAATGACCCTTTCACAGGGGTCACTCGATTCATAACATTAGCAAACTTACAGTTATGAAGTAGCAATGGAAATAATTTTATGGTTGGGGGGGTCACCACAATATGGGGCACTGTATTAAAGGGTGGAGGCATTAGGAAGGTTGAGAACCACTGCTCTAAAGAAATAAAGGACAAAATACAAACAGATAGATGCACACCCATGCTTATCTATCATAGCAAGAAGATAGAAACAACCAATACGCCTGTCTGCAGTGGAGTGGATAAATACACTCTGGTACATAAATACAAAGGAACATATGCGTCCCCCCAAAACAACACACCTCAAGTCATGGAGGAACTGGAAAGACATGATGTTCAGCAAAATTAGTCAATCTCATAAGGGCAAATATATGACACAATTACCAGAAAGTAAAAAACAACAACTAAGAAAATAGTTTTCATACCGAAAGAAGACAACTTTGAAGGTTGCAGGGCAAGGGCTAAAGAAGGTTGGGGTGCTGAAAGATAGGACCACATGGGGGCACTTTTGGGGATACTGTCAGGGTTCTGAAGTGTTGAGCTGTGCAACTGTGTTTAAATATGCTTCCCCCTTCTGTTATACTCCACCACTTGAGATATATACAAAGCTATGAATGGACCATTCTAAAATCTGTATAAAACGCCCATGGGTGAATTAAATGAACACAGGAGAATGTTTTAGGGCCAAGTAAACTATACTCTCTACTCTACAACATCATGATCCCTCTGTAATGATTGCCTTCTTAAAATTCCATTTTAAAGACCACGTCAGTGAAGCTTAGTTCGACTTTAAATAATAACCCATCTGAGTGCCCTAAACAGCATCTTAAACAGGGCGTGATGCCCCAACAGACTGGACTGGAAAACACTCCTAAAGGCTAGTGATCCTTGAACTAACTACAAGCTTTTCTTTCTTGGTATATTTTAATTTGTTCTTTGTCAGTGGCTTGATGCTGTTGCTGTTCTGTTGTACATTGTTGCTTGGTTTTGCTCTGTCTTGTTTTTGTGCATATTGTTGTTTCCACAGGTCTGTCTGGATAGGACAGGCTGGATGAACAATCTGGAGGAGAAAACAATGGTACTGACAGTTCTGGAGGGGCATGGGAGAGGGGGAGGTGGGGGGAAGG